CCGCACTGGCCTCCCGCTGGCCACCTTCCCCACCCACCCAGAGCCGGCCTAGTCGGGTCAGGAGCCAGGCGGAGGGCGCCCCTTTGGCTGGCTGGCTGGCCTGTCCAAGCTTTGCTGGGGGCTTTGGGGGCAGGGCGCCCGCCTGCTTCCCTGGTGTCGCTCGGGGAGGTTGCGTTATTCAGCCTGCACTTTGCACCTGGCCAGCCTTCGTGTCTCTTTGTGCGCCACACCCAGATAACCGTCCCAGACACGCATGTCTCCCTGGTCTGTTTTTACTTTCCACGTGGGGCCATTGCTTTGCTTGGCCCAGGATCTCGGACGGTGTGCTTCACTCGGTCAAGGATGTGTTCAGAAGCCCACATTGCTCCCCTGGGATCCAGCCTTAGGAATCCAGGCCAGCCACCAGTTCAGCAGGTGCGATGGGAGGCTGGTCTGCTTTGATTGCCCGGCAGTTTCGTTGGCTTGGCCAAGGACTGGGCTCAGTGCCTTGTGCGCTTAACTTAGGGTCAAATATCTATTTAAAAACCTAAATTGCTGTCTTAGGGTGAATGAAGTGGGCTGGTAAGGGAAGGCTTCTTTTTCCTCGTGGTGAGAAATGGGTGGGGGGGTTGCCCCTTGGAAATATATAGGGAGGAGTTACGTTCTCAGGGGGGCCGGGGCTAAATGTGTGGGTCTGGGCAAGCGTGAGCTGGACTTTGCTGGTGGTGCCATGAAAAGCGAATGCAGTTGCTGAACGGGACTGCCAGAATTGACCCCCTCCCCCCTCGCTGCGTTCGGCTTGCACCCCCGATTGAGACGGGGGTGATGTCTCTGCTGCTGTAGGGGCCACAGGGGCGCAGAGGAAGGGGAAGACGTTGGCCTTGCATGGATGCGGCCGAGCCTGTTGGCAAAGAAGGCCGGGTACCTGGCAGAAATGCCCGGGGGGAGGGCCGTCCCAGGCAGGTGCCCGCAGCTACTTCCCTGAACGGTCTCCAGGCCGGCCCACAAGCCCTCCGCCCCCTTGTTGACAGGAAGTGCCTCCTCGGCTTCTCTGTTGGCTTGCCTGGCCAGCCAAACGGCCTGGTTTTCCCCCCCCCCCCCCCCCCCCCCCCCCCGCAGGAAAGGCTCCCCGTCCTCGGCAGCAGTTAAATGTGGGCTTGTTGCTGCTTCCGTGCACAAACCAGGCTTGGCCCTCCGGAGTTTCTCCCAAGATCAGGGCTGCAATTGGGCAGGACTTTGTTTTCAAAGAAACGGGCGTAAAGTCCTGTCATTTTGATGAAACTGAAGAGAAAAGGGAGCTCCTAGAGAGCCAGATAGGGAAAGAAAACGGAAAGGGAGGCTGGTCGTTTGGCTCCAGGAGCCAAGATGTCGCCTTGGTCCCTGGACTTCAGGGGACCCAGCCTGGGGGGGTGGGCGTGGGGGTGGGGGTTCTGGGGCCGCGCGAGGCTGAGAGGGCAGCCAAAGCTCAAGGAAGCAAGAGGCGGCAACTCACAAGCCGACATCTGCCGGCAGAAACTTGGCTTACGGGTGGAACTCAGGCAAAGGCGTCCTGACACCACAGATGGATTCCTGGGACGTCCCTTTCAGGTTGGGTGGACCTGAAGGCGACCTGGGCTGCTCCTGGGTTACTCATCTTGACTCTGGCCTCCTCCTCCTCCGAGCGTGGCCCTGCCTTGGTGTCTCTCAGCGGCTCCTCCCGTGGCCTCCACCCAGCGGCTTTTGGCCTCCTGCACAGACCTGACCCACCTCCTTGGGCACAGAGACCCCTGCATCCGGGCCCAGTTGAATCTCCGGATTGGCAGGACACCCGAACTGTCCGGCAGAAGGCTGCTTTTGGCTGAGGGTGCTGCTGGCCAGAGGATGCCATGCGTGGTCCTGGCTGCCGGAGAGGGGGGCTGCCCATAGGTCCATCTCCTCCATCTGCCTCCCCACCCCCCAAGAGGTCTTCCAGCCTAGGTTCGGCTTCTGCCAGGAGGGCCAGAGAGGGAGGGGGCTTGAGGGGTCTGCAACCTTATACACTCAAAGAGCCATTTGGACCCGTTTCCCACAGAAAAGAAAACACTGGGAGCCACAAAACCCTTCCCGTGCCTGACTATTTCTTGAGCAGCCACAAAACTAGCATATGTAGTTGAATTAAACCTTCTGCTTTCTTCTGAAACTTTTCTTTTCTTGGATTTATCCATGGTTGGCCTACCGGAGGTTGAAACGCTCACTCAATAAATTATGTGCTGGTGGGTGTCGCACATTGGTGGTTGTGACGCATATTTTGAGTGACAGGGAGCCGCAGCAGAGGGGGTGAAAGAGCCACATGCGGCTCCAGAGCCGCAGGTTGCTGACCCCTGCACTAGGCTGGTGGAGAGCAGGGTCTGGGCAGCCCGCTGCACTATCCCAGCCTTGAACCCAGGATCTTCAGTGCACAAGGCACCAAAGTGCTTGCAGGGATACTGGTCCCTCTCCAGGAGAAGGTTGTCTGGATGGCAGAGAAGGGACGTTGCCATGGGGCACCTCCCAAGCCATGCTTCCTCCCCCAGATCCTGCCCTCCTCCCCCCACCTGCCTGCCTTTCCTTGTGGGGGGGGGAGGGAACGGATGAATAAGCCGCCCCCTGCTTGGGAATTCTCCTGCATCCCAGGCAGCGTGGGAAAACGTGGGAGAGACCCCCCCCCCATCCCTGTGATCTGGCACTCGCCCAGGGATCAGCTTCCAGGGGAGGAATCCTGGGCTTTGGATCCGAGGGAGAGGGGGGGGCAGTCTTTTGGGGGGGCTCAGCAGAGCATCATTAAAAAGGCAGAGCCAGGAACCGGGGGGGGGGTGTCCGTCCTTGGAGAGCTGACGCCTTCCTGAACCCCCCTTAGCCCTGCGCCTAAGGGCTGGCCTGCCCTCTTCGACAAGCCCTCCTGAATCCTGCCCCCTCCCCTCCCCAGATCTCAGATGTTCCCCATGGGGTGGGGGAAGAAGCGAAAGGGACCCAGGCGTTCTTCATCAGGGAAGCATCTCAAAAATGCGAGGGAGAGTTTATTGTTTCTTGATGCTGCTGTGGGTGGGAGTGGAGAGCAGCCAGGAGAGACACACAGCCCCCCACCACCACCCCACACAGACACTGCCCTTCCTGTCCTGCTCCGTCCAAGGAAATTCCGCCGGTGGATTCGAGTCCCTGGATGGGGGGGCATGGGGGGGGCGGAAGGAATGCAGAGCGAGTTTCTTTTTTCTGGAGGAAAAAAAACCCCAAGTGTTTGAAAAGAAAAGGAAACGGATCTGATTCTGATTGAGCCACACACACACACACACCCAGCACAAAAACAGGAGTGGGATCCTGGTCTTCCCAAAGCAGATCTTCTTTCCTTCCCCTGAAGAGGAAGGGACAGGAGTTGGCACGGGTGGCCGCTTGGCACGGGGAGCAGTGCCCAATTCTCCAGCGTTTGGGGTGGGGTGAGGTGGGGTGGGGGGGAAAGACCAGACTTGGGCTGCTTTGCAACCCGGGGGGCTTTGCCGGGGATCGGAGAGCAGGGATTAAAAAGCCCAAACATGTCCCGACACTCAGCCCGCGTGCCCAGTGGCAGGCAGGCAGGCTGGGGACGATAGGAGTTGGAATCCCACCCGTTCTGAGGGGCCCCGGGCGGCGGAGGCAGCTGCCTGCTCAGCCCGAGAGCGGCCCCGTTGAGCCCAGTGGGGCTGGCCCCCAAGGAACTGGCTCTCTGTCAGATCCTCTCCCCTATTTTTCCAGTAGCAAGATGGTGGCGTGTAATTAAGGCAGCCCCACAGCCCGTAATAATTACAGCATTGCTCATGCCAGAAATGCTGAATTTTCTGCAAAGCCCCGCCTTCCTGCTGCGCTGCCAGCCCTGAGCCAGAGAGGAGAGCCCTTTCACCTGGGGGGGGGCGGGGGGGCGGCTTCTCCCGGCCCCCCTGCCTTTAATTTCACACCCTTCAAAGTCCACAGTCCCTTCTAGCTGTGGGGGCATCTCGCCCCACCAGGACGGGGCAGAAGAGCTGCCAACCCCCCCCTCCCCCAGGTGTGTTTTCCCCAGCCAGGCGTTGCTGTTGGTTGGCCTCGGCCTCTTTTCTGGTGGGGAGGGAGGGGGGGCAGGAAGCAGTTATCCCCAAGATGCAATTAATGAGAAAGAGGTGAAGTCATGCCTTTGTGAGGCGTTTGCCCGTGAGTGTGTGTGTGTGTGTGTGTGTGTCTCTGTATGTATAATTAATGCAGAAAAGAGTTTTGGAAGAATTGGCCATTGGAGGTTTCTAGTCCGCCAGAAAGTAAAAGAAGCAGGGGAAAAATTCCTCTTTGATTTATTTGCTTTATTTAAGTCACCAACTGGGTCTCTGAACCGGCTTAGGGAGAAAGGAGCCTTTTTCTTTAAAAGAAAAAAAATCCGGTTAAATAAAATCTGGAAGTTGTAATCAGATAAATTTGCTGTGACATTTACAGATCTGGGCAAGTTAGCCTTTATTTGACACCTGTTTTATACATACAGACAATATGGACTAGTGTCATTTATAGCGCTATACAATAAAACTAAGTCACTCTAAATGAGCCCGTGGTGCATAATGGCTGGGCTATGGGATGTACCTGTAATTGGGGGCTCAGTTAAGCTGGCGCCCACCCCTCTCAGCTCAGGCAGCAAAACGGGCTCGAGAGTGGGGCTGTTCCCAGGGAGGGTGGGCTCCGTTTTTTGAATGTCTCCTTCAAAATACAACCAAACTGGCTAGGGAATTCTGGGAGTTGAAGTCCATTCATCGCAAGGTGGCCAGTTTGAAAACCGCAGCTGTGCGTGATGTGCTCTCGGGGTCGCCTCAGACGCTCCGCTTGGCAGACAGGTGGGCAAATTGAGGCCCCCAACATGCCAGGTGGTTTCTCAGTAAAGGGAGGGGGCGGCCGGAGGGGAGGGGGATGCCTGTGGCAAAATGCTTTCCCGGTGGCTCAGAGGGAGCCGGTCTTTGTTCCATTGGAGGTCCGCTCTCACCACTGGCCCACATTGTCTCTCTCTCTCTCTCTCTCTCTTTCCCCCTTCCCCCCCCCAGTCCTCCTGCGGGAAGAGGTCAGCCAGCTGCAGGAGGAGATCCATATGCTCCGTCAAATGAAGGACATGCTGACCAAGGACCTAGAGGAGACTCAGGGGGACAAGGCCTCCGAGATCCTCCCGGCCACAGAGCTCAAGGTCCAGCTGGCCCAGAAGGAGCAGGAGCTGGCCAGGGCCAAGGAGGCCCTCCAGGGTAAGAGCCCCTCGCCCCTTCCTGCCACCAGCCCCCCCCCTTCCCTGCCTCTGCCCTCCTCGGCCCTCCCTGCCTCACCCGCTTAAAAGGCCCTGGGGCCAGGCAGGCTCTGCCATCCCAACGGAGCCTCCAGGGAAGCCAGTGAGGAGTTGCCCCAGTGCCAGTTGGCCAGGCTCAGGGAAGGGGGGCCGAAAGGGCAGTTCTGGGCCCATAGCCCATCTTCCCACCCCAGTATGCTGCAGCCGTCATACAGACATTCTGGTTGCCCAGTGCCCACATTCTGACTACAGGTGCCGCCCTTGTAACTTCAAACGGTCACTAAACAAGTGGCTGTAAGTCAAGGACTACCTGCCTAAGGCAGAAAGAGGAGGAGAAGCCCTTGAGAAACCAAAAGTCAGATTTTGGGGGGCCAGGCCGCTTCAGATCAAAGGGGCCCCACACCTGAGCAGGGGGTTAAAAGGGGGCATTTGGGCCAAGGGGAGGACTCTGCCCAAGTCCGCTTGTAACCCTTGGTAAATCCCTGCCTGGGACCGATGGAGTTGAGACCAAGCGGAGATCCTCGGTTGACTCTCCCGGAGGCTTCCCCCCCCCTCGAATGAAAAATGAGAAGCAGTTGTGCTTCTTCTGGGCGCCCCTTCCAACTGATGGAGAAGACCCCCCTCTCAATTCCTGTAATTAGTAATTTGTTTTAGATTAAAGTATGGTGAAAACTCACCCCATAAAGTGTGCCCATTAGTTGTAACAGTAAAAGATCTTAATAAATTAAACTAACGAGGCCCATTCTTAGCCATGGCTTCTCTCTAAATCCAGAAAAGCAGTTACAGACCTCCAGCGTTTCCCCTCCCAGCCCCCCCAAACCCCGCCCCACATATTTTCCTGCTTGGGTGGGAAGTTCTGGGGGCGAATGTTTTCATCAGGAGGGGCCTGAGCCCCCTTTCTACCCCAAGAATTGGGAGGAAATTCTAAATGCTGTCAAATGCTTTTCTGTTTTAGCTGGGGGGGGGGGGAAGCATTTCACAGCCTTTTGGGGACCCCCTCCTTATGACCCAGCTTGTAAGAGTTCGGCTCCCCTTTTTCCATCCTTGAGATTTTGGAAGCACAGAGCTAAAATTTGCTTGTGGGGGGAGTATCCTTCCTGAAGCCGCCGCATTCCCCCTCCCTCTTGGGGGGCTGGGGCAGAAAACTCCCTGATGCAAGCCCCCCCCAGCCCCCCTGTTTTCTCCAGGCTCCCCCCCTTGGATGTTGGCATTGGATTGTGCCCATTCTTCACAGAGCGGAAGGATGGGCGAGTTGGCAGAGGTGCCCTCTGATCCTTTGCCAGTGGCTGGGGGGGGGAGTGGGGGCTTGGGCAGACTCCAGGACCTGCATGCAAACGAGATTTTGCTCCCAGACTTTGGGATTTGGGGGAGAAGTTTTTCCCCTGGAAAAGAAAAAAGGAACCAAAATTGCCAGCCGGAGACCAAAGGCTCGAAGGGCCCCAGCAGCGCTCCAGGAGGCCCCCCCCCCCCCCCCCCCCTGCAATGGCTGGAGACTGGAGGGAGCCTGGGCAGCCCAGAATCTACTAAGGGCCATCCAGCTCTGGGTGGAAGCTGGCACATCCCCACCTCCCCCGGGGATGAAATGCTGCCCACCTCCCCCCACCCCCAAGAGGCCACTGCCAACTTCCTCTCCCCTCCCCACTTCGCTGCTTGGCTTCCACAAAATGAAATGGAAGCATTTTCGCAGAGTGCCCCCCCCCATTTCCATGGCAACCATGGCCACATTCTCCCTTCCCTTGGGAGCCGGACAGCTTCCAGGCGGTGGATTGAAAGGACACCCCTCCCTCCTTCGTCCCAGCCCCTCTGGGGCTCTGCCACCACCCCTTCCCCGGGGGGGGGGGGGGGGGGGCTTGTCCCAAATGCCTCCTCTTCCTCCTCCTCCTCTTGGCTGCCCTTCCTCATTAAGAAGTTTCTGCAGGGATCCCTCCCACTGCAAATAAGAAGGAAAAGCCCCTGGAGGCCCCATGGAGATGTGGGGGGGGGGCTTTGCTGAAGGTAAAGCTGTGTCCCTGCTCGGCCACTCCACCCACCGCACCCCCCCCACCCCTGTTCACTCAAGACCCTGCAGACGGAGGGCAGGGGTCTCACTGGGAAGTGCTGCCTTGAAGCTATTTGTGGCCCCCACAGCTTGGAGGGGCTCAGGTGATGGCCCAGGGCTCTGCTGTGGCCGGGCAGTGCCCAGATGGGCAGGGGTGAAATCCAGCAGGTCCAGACAGGTTCTGGAGAACCAGTAGCGGAAATTTTGAGTAGTTCGGAGAACCGGTAACTGCCGCCTCTGGCTGGCCCCACAGTGGGGAGGGAATGGAGATTTTGCAGTATCCTTTCCTTGCCACGCCCACCAAGCTATACCCACAGAACCGGTAGTAAAAAAATTTGGATTTCACCACTGCAGGTGGGGGTCCCTGTAAGGGAAGCCAGGGAGGTGTGGACGGGCCCTCTGGGCAGCAGCCCTGGGGGCAGGATGGGGCAGGGGAGGCCTGAGCTCCCCCTCCTGGTTCCTGGCAGGCAGACTGGCACAGGCGGCTGAATCCAGGGCCCCTTCTGCCTCCCCGCCTCTTTAGGGGCCACCGTGTGGACCCCAGGGCCCTCCGTGCACCCACCAGACGCTTCCTTAAGAAAAGGTCGGCCTCTTCTAGGCGACAGGGCCCTGCTGGGATCCTGGGGAAGGCCTGCCCTCTTCTGCCTCCCTGCTTAGATCCTTCCTTCCTTCCTTCCTTCCTTCCTTCCTTCCTTCCTTCCTTCCTCCCCCACCCCTCTGAGCCCCGTCCAATCCTGCCTGCTGAGCCCTGGGTTCATGTCCAAGACTTGGGCTAGGTCACCTAGCACTGAAAAGCCCCATCAAAATCAGAATTAAAACCAGGTGAAGAGAATGAAAGGACGGGGGGGGGGAGAGAGAGACACGGGTGCAGCATGAGCCATTTTATTTATCTATTATGACTAAAACTGCGTTTTTTCCCTCTGGCAGCCATGAAGGCCGACCGGAAGCGCCTGAAGGGCGAGAAGAGCGACCTGGCCAGTCAGATGCAGCAGCTCTACAGCACCCTGGAGAGCCGCGAGGAGCAGCTGAGGGACTTTATCCGCAACTACGAGCAGCACCGGAAGGTTGGGGTCGGGGCGGGGGGGGCGGGGGAAGGGGCACACCCTATCGGGTGGGGGAAGCAATGGGGACTGGCAGGCAGGGAGACCCAGCAGGTCCTCTGAGTTGCCGGCCTACAGACTCCACAGGGCTCTTTGTCTGGGGGCGGAACCTGCTATGCCGCCCCGAGGCTTGCGGGGTCTCCCTGTAAAATCCCACCCCTGCGCCTCACTTGGGCCTCTCTCAGCACCCCACCCCGGCCCTGGGATGGTGGAGGGGCTAAATATGGGGCATTCATTCGGGGTTGGGGGGTCTGCCTGGCAGGAAGCTGGCCGTGGGAGGGAGCTCTGCCCTGGGGAGGGCTGTGCCTCAGAGGGAGGCACCCCAAGGCCCACAGAGAAGTGCTCAGTGTTTGGGGTGAGCTCCCCCCCCCCCCCCCGAGTGGTGCATTCAAATCTTCTAACCCCCCCCCCCCCCCCCCCCCCCCCCCCCCCCCCCCCCCAGGAGAGTGAGGACGCAGTGAAGGCCCTGGCCAAAGAGAAAGACCTTCTGGAGCGGGAGAAGTGGGAGCTGAGGCGGCAGGCCAAGGAGGCCACGGACCACGCCAGCGCCCTCCGCTCACAGCTGGACCTGAAGGACAACCGCATGAAGGAGCTGGAGGCCGAGCTGGCCATGGTGAGGCCATCCCCCACCCCAGGCCCTTTTTCCTGCTGAGGCTCTCTGGATGTGGCCCAGGTGAAGCCCTCCCTCACAGAAGGGAGGCCCTTTGCCCCCACCCCCCCCCAGGGATCCTTGGAAGGGCTCGGTGAGGTCATTTAATCCAGCCTTCTCGGAAGCAGTAAATGCTGCACAGAGCCCAAGGCTCTGATTTCGGTTCATGAGGGCTTTGTCTCTATGACTCTTGAGAGTGCCAGTCGTGGGGGGAGAGGGAAAGGGGGGGGGGGGCTGATCGCTCTTGGGAAAAACAAGGCTGAGCCGCACAGGATGATGGCCTTTGCAGTTCGTTGCATTTGCCTTTGGCCCCAAACAGACAGAGAGAAAATCGTTGGCAAAGAGAGAATATTTGGCCTCTCCTTTCACAAACGATCTCCCGCCATCCCTAATTTTGTTTCCCAAACTGGGATTAAACCAACCGGGTTAACTTGACATGGATTTGCCAGAGCCGCTCCCCTCCAGATGTTGCCAGTCCTGAGTTGGAATCCGCCAATCCACATCTGGAGGGCCTCTTGGAAGGAATGGCAAAGAGCCCGGGAGAGTCTGGTGGGCTGCAGGCCTGTTTTGGGGGAGGGGGGGTGCTGTCTTCAACACTGGGCATCTCTGGCTGTGCCAGGCGGTGACACTGTCCTGCTGCCCTCTCCTCCCACGCAGGCCAAGCAGTCCTTAGCTACCCTGACCAAGGACGTTCCCAAGCGGCACTCGCTGGCCATGCCCGGCGAGACGGTGCTGAACGGCAACCAGGAGTGGGTGATGCAAGCCGACCTGCCCCTCACGGCTGCCATCCGGCAGAGCCAGCAGACACTCTACCACGCCCATCCCCAGCACACGGTGGACCGGCAAGGTGAGAGGCACCCCACCACCCACCCCCAGGTCAGTCCCAAAACAGACCCTTTCGCGAGAAGAGGCAGGTGAAGTTAGCGAGGGCTCTCAAGTTTGACAAACACCGTCTGGGACGGAGAAAGAGGCGAGCGACTGCCCCTTTCAATCTCCCTGCCCGAAGAGGAAGAGCAGGTGCTGCCAGGCGTCACCCACAGGTGGAGACAGTCCTCGCTTAGCCACAGGTAGGACCAGCGGCTCCGTCGCTAAGCGAGGCATCGCATCATTGCAACTTGTGATTTGGACAGCCTGGGACCCTGAAGAGTAATCAGCGCTAGTTGTCAATTTATTTTTTCACCGCCCTTGAACAGTTGCTAAACAGGACGGTCATTAAGTGACACAAGCTGTAGACGGGACCCTGCAGACCGAGGGGCCATTTGGGTGCAGAAAATTGGTGTCCCCAGTTCTGTGGAAGCCGCAGTCCCAGCCCAGCCCTTAGGCCCTCGTTCCTCATCTGGTTTATTTAAAGCAAAGGCAGGTTTTCAGAAAAACAATAACACCAATAAGTGGACAGAGAGTTCCTGAAGTTTTACAGTGAATAACATGCCAAGGAAAGTACATTGTTTTTATAAGTAAGGAAACAGAATAATCCCCCACCCCCACCCCTCCGAGATTCTGAGTTTCAGTATGAATTCCAGGCTCCGGTTCTTGGTCACAAGCAAAGCCGTGTACATCCTCTAACCCTCCCCCCTCCCCCCCCCCACTCCTCCCTTGCATTTCAGGGGTCCGAGTCAGCCCGTGCCACTCGCGGCAGCCTTCCATCATCTCCGATGCTTCGGCGGCCGAAGGGGACCGGTCATCCACGCCGAGTGACATCAACTCGCCTCGGCACAGAACACATTCCCTCTGCAATGTAAGACGCGTCTGCAGGTCATTGGCTGTTCCTAACTCTTGTTTTTCCAGCCCATTGGGGGCGGGGGGGGGCTCTCTGCTGCCCTTGGCGGGCTGGGTGGGAGGTTTGGTGGGAGGCAGCTGCTTTAAAGGGACACAGAGCTAAAAGGAGGACCCCGAATCTTGCACACTCTCTTCGGAAGCAGGAGGAGGCGGGCATCAGGGGTGAAATGCTACTGGTTCAGGCAATCAGCTGGGCGACGATCAGCTGTAACGCGAGATTTATATTAAGTAGAATCATCGGATTTCCTGCTTTCTAACTAACCTAATTTGCGTGGCACAGCGGATTCCCCCCCCCCCTCGCTGTTCTACTTACCTTTGCAGACTCGGAAGGCTTCAAAATGTTTGTTTTTTAGTGTTGTGCGGGCGCGTGCAAAGCGCACACTCGGTAGCAGACTCACGGTATCGGTAGCAGACTTCAGAGGATTTCACCGCTGGCGGGTGTCTGCCAACCTTTCAGCTGAAGGGACAGGGCCTCCAGCGAGTGTGCAGGGGGCGTTCGTCCCCTGGGAGCCAAGGCTCCGATTGTGTGAATTCTCTCCCCTGCAGCCGGTTTGTGCTTGGAGTGGAGGCTGGAGGTTGTCTTAGTCCAGGGGTCGGCAACCTTAAATACTCGAAGAGCCACAAAGGTCCTAATCAGAAGCCCCCCATTCAATTCTAGAGCCGACCGGAAGTCCGATTTCCCCACCACCACCACCACCATAGAGTCTCCTCCTAGCACACTGTCCTTTTTTCTATGCCAACCAGAAGTCTGGTCCCCCCCACCATAGAGTCTCATCCTAGCAGAGCGTCCTTTTTCTTCTACCTGTCCTAACGGAAAGCCCTATCAATTGTGGAGCCAACTGGCAACAAGGAGCCACAGCAGAGGAATGAAAGAGCCACGTACGGCTCCAGAGCCACAGGTTGCAGACCCTTGTCTGTTTGACGGTGCATGCTAAGTCATCCCGCCCAGTTGTGGGTGGGAACATCTGCACCCTGTCGGTGAGCAGGTTATGCCCAGGTAGTCCTCCAGGCAAAAGAGCCCAGGAGAAAGACAGGGTGAGGAAGGCAGCCTCTCTGCCTCAGGACTCACTGGCAGCGCAGAACCCGGGCCAGTTGTGCAGCCAATAATGGGTCTCCCAGGAACCTCGGTGGGATTCTGACTCCACAAAGGGTGGGAGGGAGGGCGGGGGGATTTCCATCCTGCGTGCAGGTTTCACTCAGTTCCTGGCTGTGAAGCCCAAACCCTGACAGTGAAGCCCAAACCCTGCACCCCTTGGCAGTCCACCCAGGCGGAGGGGCGCTGTGCCCTTCCTCCGGCTGTCCCTCCTCTCGCTGGTTTGCCACGGAAGAGAAGATGGTGCTTCAGATCCTTCCTCGCTTCCCTTGTGAGCAAAACTCCCGGATCTCATTCACTGAAGGAGGAAAGAGAGATGAGCTAAGATCAAAGGAAAACGGATGGGAGGCTGCCAGCTGTACAGGTAGTCCTCGACTTAAGGCCGTGACAGAGCCAAGTCTTAATTTGGTTGTAAAGCAGATCATCACATGACCAACCAGATTTTACAGCCTCTTTTGCGGTGACCGGTCATAAGACGAGGAGAGCATCAGGGTTTACCCCTCTTCGTCTGCCTCTTCCCTAAAATCCAGTGGAGGGTCCGTAGGGGGGACAGGAGCCTGAACGTGTGCATGCGGGAGCCACTCTGCTGGTGCTGCGCATGGCCTGCATGCAACATCACCCGTGTGTGTGTGTGTGTGTGTGTGTGTGTGTGTGTGTGATGCCATATGTTGTACCAAAATGCCAGCTGACGTGCCAATTCTTCCTGGCAGGGAGATAGTCCTGGACCGGTACAGAAAAATCTGCACAACCCAATTGTCCAGGTAGGTTCTGGGCTCCTCACCAAGGGGGGGGGACGGGCTTGAGCAAGGCTGCTCTGGGTGGCTGAAGACGGGGTGTTGAACAGGGGGGAGGGGCAGGTGCATGAACCCAGCATCCGCTCTGCTCCTCTCCCCCGCCCCCTGCTCTCCGGCACAGTCTCTAGAGGACCTGGAGGACCAGAAGCGGAAGAAGAAGAAGGAGAAGATGGGTTTCGGCTCCATCTCGCGGGTCTTCGCCCGAGGGAAGCAGCGCAAGTCCTTGGACCCCGGCGTCTTCGACGGAGCGGCCCCCGACTACTACATAGAGGAAGATGCGGACTGGTGACGGGTCGCCCCCCCTCCCGCTCCCGGTGCGCGTGTGAGTGTGTGTCGGGGGGGTGAGCCTCCAGTTGCGCCAAGGCCCCGAACCCGGCTGCTCCCGCGTGGCCCTCCTGTGACCCCTGTACATAGCCCCCCTCCCCCACACTCCTGTGTACGAACCCCTTAACTGTCGTCTGTTGAGCGATGCTGCCCGTGTTGTGTAGCCCTCCCTGGTCCTGCTGGGAGTGTTTGGTTGATTTTGTTCTTCCTCCTCCTCCTCCTCCTCCTCCTCCCCCACCAGTTTTTGTTTTCTATTCTCTGTCCTTTCTTGCCCTCCCTCCCCACTTTTCTTTCTACAAAACTTGAAAAACTTGAAGGACTGATGCGCATATGTAAATAGGCGCCACCACCATGGTGCACTTTGTGCTTTCTAAATGTCTCCTGCCCACCCCCATCCCCCAGAAGCCTCCCTTCACTTCGGGGGGGGGAGGGGAGGGGGGCAGCCGGTGTTTCGTGGGTTTGCCGGGGGGGGGCAGGGGATGGGACGGGACACTTTTGGCAGCCTCCCAAATTCCACACAAGCTCTGGTTGAGAAAAGACCCCTTTGCCCAGGGAGCCTCTGGCATCTTCAGCATCTGGAGGACAGCAGCCCACCCCCCACCCCCATGGCTCTGGGGCCATCCGTCCAGCTCTCTCGCCTCCGGTGCCCCCTTGGCAGTGCCCGAGAGGGAAGAGCCGCCAAGCGTGGTTTGCACCCGCCGTCTAGGGAGAGCTGTGTCCTTCCCACCTTTCCTTTCCCCGTTGAGGGGGCCATGAGGCATCCGTGGAGCTGCCTGGCGATGCTGGGGCTGCCAGCCTCCTGGGGGGCTACCTTTCATTCTCCCCCCAAAGTCCCTCTGAACACATTCCCATTTTCCACCCCCTCCCTGGCTCCTATTTTCCATCATTGTGACGTTCCTTTCCCTATTTCAGGCTTTTGGGGAAAAAGAGCTCTTGGGGCTTTCTTCGTGGCCGGAGGGCAGAGCCGGTCAGACTCTTGGTGTCCACTTTTGGGCTCTCTGTGCCACACAAACTGCCCCTTATGCCAGTCCAGGTGCAGCTCTTGCGCACACCTGGGAAGGGAGCAACCTAGAACTAAGGAGAGATTTCATGACAGAACGATTAATCAATGGAATGGCTTCCCTCCAGAATTTGGACGCTTTTAAGAAGAGATTGGACAATCATTTTTGTCTGAAATGGCTTAGGGTCGCCTGCTCAACCAGGAGGGTTGGACTAGATGACCTCCAAGGTCCCTTCCGACTCTGTTATTCTGTTAGTAAAGGAGATGAAGCTCCTGGGGTCAGCACAGAGCCTGAACTGATGTGGGTGGGTGGGTGGGTGGGACGAGGCGGGGCAGGAAGTTCCCATTTGGGCCTGGCTGCTTTGCGGGGCCTCAGTGCCAAATTCCCTCTGTGTGCGTATGTGTGTGTGTGTGTGTGTATGTGAAGAGAGCGATCCAGAGGGTCCACCTTCCTTTGAAAGTCTGAATGTATTTTCTAATCCTTTGGCTCGTGGCAAACCCGGGGCTTTTTCTCAGGAGGGGGAGAGAAGAGAAGCGTCTGTGGGGGGGGGGGGGAAATGGGGGGGGGGGCTCCTGCACCCATTCAGAGCCAGCTTGGGGGAGGGGGTGCTGGGGCTCTGCACGTCCTTTGGAGCAGGCATGGCAGCTTCCCATCCAGAAAATCCCAGGGAAACCTCCGTGGCTTTTTTGGACAGGGAAGGGGCAAAAATCCCACATGTGGATGGGACACTGAAGGCCAGCAGACACACAGGTTCACACACACACACACACATACAGTGCACAACAGCATCTCCCATCACTTCCACCGCGTCCCGCTGTACCCCTTTAGGGCGTGCGATGTTAGCAGGGCGTAAGAAGGAGGAAGCTGAAGAAATGAAAGGCTTTATGAAAGAGGAGAGATTAGGCTGTTTTAAAGGCCCCCAGGAGGGGACAGAAAAACAGGCTTTACTTGCCCAGCTCAATGCGGGAAGAATGTGAAACTAGAGGAGCCTTTTCAGGCAGGTGTTTGGAAAAGGAAGAAGGGATCAAAGGTGTGCAAGGACACAACTCTCCTAGTGCTGGGCAAACACACACACACACACACACCCAGGGTGGCCACAAACATTTGCCCCTGGAAAGTGGCTGAACCCCTTCAGGCCAAAATGTGGGGTGGCTGCTGTGGCTCCTTCTCTTCCTGGTCTCTCTCTCTCTCTCTTTCTCTCTCTCTCTCTCTCTCTCTTTCTTTCTCGTTTTTTTTTGATGCATACTCATTTTAATTCCTTAATCCTTCTTTTTTGTTCATTTTCCTTCCCCATTGTTTAATTTTAATTTATTTGCACAATACAGAAGATGTATTCTAACTAAATTATTACATAAATATTGGAATTTATATTTTTCCACATCGGGTGGGGATTTTGTGAATGGGTGGGGGTGGGGGTTAGTTTGGTGTTTTTTTTGTTTTTGTTTTTTGTTTTTTTGCTTTGTTGTGCACATGATGGCTCCAGAGAGCAAATCGTAGGGTGGCTTCTGTGCCGGGAGAACAATTCCGATTTGATCGTATTTCCCTCTTTCCCCCCACCTCCCATCTCCCTCTCCCCCAACCCTGTGAAAAAGGTGCCTCCGGATTTGCTAAGCAACCCCCACCCCTTTGAGAGACGGAGGGAGCTGTTGATGCTGCCACGGGGGGACCCAGTGCAGCTTTAGCAAACTCCAAGCACCAGCCCTGGCAGGGAGGCAGGCACTGGCCTGGGCAGAGTAGGGGTTGCGGGATCCCCTGGCCTTGGCTCCCCTCCGTCTCTCACCTCTAGCCTGGCCCAAGACCACCCCGCCATCGACCCCTCGGTCCCTTTAACTTGCCCATTGTCCAGGCTAAGGAGAGACCACCTGCCACGGGACTGGATGCCTGGGGGAGGATCCGGTCCTGCCCTCGTTTCAAAGTCCCAGCACGGAAGGCAGGTTGCGGCTCTGAGCAGGCAGACACACACACACACACACACACACACACACACACACACACACACACCAGCTTTGCTGTTTCTTGCAAGCTGGGCTTCAGAGCCAGCCTGTGCCACCGGCAACAGCCAGATTCGGTGGCACCATGTTTGCTGTTTTTTAAAATGATGGGCATCTTCTTTACGAGTTGCCTCTGCCCGGCCCCTTTCCCAAAAGTGACGGAGAGGCTCTTGGTCAGCATCAGCTCTTAGAAGAGGAAGAGTCTTCCCTTTCCTCCGGCGGGTGGGTGCTGCCAAAAGCCTGCCGTGGCTGTGAGAAAGGTCAAAGGTCCAACCTGGCCAGGCCTAACCCTAACCCTTTTGCTCTCCTCCATGGGGGAGATGGGGCCCCCTCATTCTGGAGAGAAGCATCGACTGGATTGATGGGAGGGCCACCTTGGTGCCCTTCCAAGACCAGTAGCCTCTCTCCCGCAGCTCCTGCTACCCCTGGCAGCCTCCTTGCCCCCTCCCATCACTCAAGTCGCCCAGGAAAAACAGCTTTTCCCGCAAGGCTTGTTGCGCTGAGCCTGCCACAGCAGGTGGGTGGAAACCTCTCCCCAGTGCTTCAGCCCTCCAGATCAGGGGAGGAGTTCAGAAGCCTCCCCCTCCTCACCTCAAGCCTTTTAAGCCTGACCCAGGCCTGGAAGGAAGGGCGCTTGTCCCCAGCTGGCAATCAGGATCTCAGGGTACCAAATTTCCCCCAGGGATGCCTTGTGGCCCAGAGATTCCCCCAAGTTTGCTACTGGCAGAAACAGTTGTGGGTTGTTCTGACCTAGGCCCAAGTAGTTATTACCAGACACAATCAGTCCTAAACAAATGTATTTTATTAGAACAGCTGAGAATTACTTCATTCTCAGCTTAGTCCAAATTAATTCCAAAACAAATTCTTCATAAACAGTCCTTCGGCCTTATCACAAACCTTTGTCTTCTTTGGCAGCCTGCCAAAGGCTTTTCTTGGCAAAACCCCATGAAGTTAAGAAGCAACCTTGCTTTCCTACCAAGATCCCAAGAACTGTTGCTGCTCTTTTAAGCCTTCTGGGAGGGGCCAATCATCTCCTGGCCTTACTCCTGAGTCGTCCTTGCTGCTCTTGCCTTCTGGCAGTTCTTTGCATGCCTGCACTAGGAAAAGGCTCCTCCTGTTCCTCTGCCTCTCTGCTGTCTGCCTCTGGAGGCTCCTGAGTCCGCGCATCGCTCCCAGATGGCCCTGGCCCCATTTCTGCCTCTGATGCAGAGCCCTCGTCCGGGCCTTCCCCTGACTCCAGGACTGGCCCATTGTCCTCCCCAACCTCCTCACTGTCTGACTCCGTTGCCAGCTCCGCAGGCTGCTGGCGGACCACAACATGGGTGGGCTCGAGGGGCTGGGGCATCTCACTTCAAGCCACTGGGCAGGTTCTGGGCCAGCAGGGACGCTGATTTGGGGGCAACTCTCTTCCCCCCAGCACCAGCATTCAGCCTTGCACACTCAACGTCACAGCCTCATGTGTGGAGCCATTTTCAGGTAAATGCCAAAATGGTTCCTTCAGGAGACCAGATGTTGCCCCCCCCCCCCCCCCCCGCAAGGTGATGCAAGGAATGAAGTTCCCGTTGGGGATAAGAGCTTGCAAGCCATTTGCCTGTCCCTGACGAAGGCGAAGGAGAAAGGCAGGCAAAGAGGGGCCTTTGGAGAGAGCTAACATGGGGGACCCCAGTGCAAGATCCCGATGGCCCAGTTAGAGACAGATGGTCGTGGAGGAAACCCCTCTCTGTGGTTGCCAGGAGCCCAAAGCTGCTTGATGCCCCATCGTCCAATACAGGGGGGTCCTGCAATTTGGAATTTTCCCCAGGAGGAAGAATTGAAGTTGGGGGGGGTCTCTGTGCGAGTCTCCAGGCACACTAATCCGGACCTTGGCCAGGCTCCACTTACAAAGCAACGTTTCCGGACTGGGAAAGGGCCCCAGACATGTCCACCCACATCTGGTGGGGTGTCAGAAGTTGGATTTTGGACGAGTTGCTAGATGCCTGTTGGATTCTGTCTCCTTGTTTGAGCTGAAAAGGAGTTCAAACCAGAAGAAATGGGTGCAAAGGCCTCTTGAACCCAGATCCCATGATGTGACATCAACTTTCATCCTGGGAGTCGTGGGGTGAGCTTAATTCCTGCCTCCGTGGCGCCTTCGCTCCAACTCCTTCGAGCTGAGCAGGTGGGCCACAACCCTCACCTGCCTGGGTTTTTCTGTCTGGAGCCGGTTTCAGGAAAAGGGCTTGGATCTACTGGTGGTGTTTCCCCTCCCCCCTTGAAATTAGATTAGGAAGCAACACACACACACACCCTTCCATGAAAAGGAATTTCCATTCTGCTCTTTCCACCATGACTTTGCTTCCCAGGCTCAGTGGCTGTTCAGCAATTCCGGCTTGCTGTTAAATAAGCAAACCAGCAGGGGCCAATTTCAGCCCCCTGCCTTCTCTCTCTCCCCCCACCCCCGGTTTTCTTTTGGCCATGCTTCCCCCCCACCCCTTCTTCTCCTTTTCTGCACAGCTGCTGCATCGTTTTTGGAAGACAGACCTTGGCTGTGCTTTTTCTGGCCCTTCAAGGCTTCCTTTGCAGATCTGGTAGCCCTCCGGACAGGCTGTTTGGAAAAGGAGGGGGTCCCGTGTGGGCCGTATAAATCCGATGATTGGCACCCTGAGGTGAGAGGAAGCCTGGCCCAGGTAGGTTGCAACACCTGATAGGGCAAGGTTAAGGTTAAGCATCCCCAAGGGAGACCTCAACCATTTAAGGGGGTGGACAGGATTCGACCCTCCCTGCACTGCCCAGGGGTCCCTTCCAGGGAGCACTTGCACCAAAGGGCTGGGCCACTTGCTCCCTTCCCCCTCCCCCTCCTCCTATCCCTATACCCCCCCCTTTTAATTGGAAATAAAATTGGAGGCACCTAAAGCTCCAGGAATGCATTTCTAAGTCATTCTCCTTTCAGTTTTCCTTCCTTCTTTCTTTCTTTCTTTCTTTCTTTCTTTCTTTCTTTCTTTCTTTCTTTCTTTCTTTCTTGCTAAACTAGGAAATAATTATTTTAAAATAAAGGAAACAAAACTAAGAAGGTGATTTATTTAAAAGAACTACCATTTTAAAACAAATAGCTTACGAATTATGGGTAACATTAGATTTAACGTTGTCTCCTTCCTCCCCTCCCCCTTACTCGTGTGTCAGGGGAGAAACAATTCCTTCAAGGCATGGATGCAAATATAAAAATATAAAAAAAAAAGAATACACAACTAAATAAAGCTTATTTTAAAGTATGCTTTGCTATACGTTTTGATGACCGCTGTTTGCTCAAATGTTGGAGCCAAGGAAGACCCATCAGCTAAAGGCAGGAAGGAAATGGCTTTTCGTGTTTTGTGGGGGATCCTGGGTCTGGCCTTTGGTGGGAGCAGAGGGGAGTTTGGGGATAGTTGCCCACCTACCCCTGCAGGGGAATGCAGAGTGCTCGGTCGGGGTGGGGGGGTCTCTCGCTCAAGAGGGGCTTCCGCACAGAAGCAGCAACCTGAAGAACGGCGGCTGGAGAGGAACCCCCAGGGAAGGGGGCTGCGGACCTTCACCTCTGCTCCTGACCCCCAACCCCATCCGCCCCCTGGGTTTCTCAGAGGGCAGATTCTCTGCAGCTGCTGATCCGACAGTCCTGTAAACCCCTCACTAATGAGGCTCTGTCAGTATTACATAAATGCCTATGTCTTTGTTGAAGACGTTTTGCTTCTCATGCGAGAAGCTTCTTCAGTTTGGTTCAGTTCTTTAGAGCTGAAGAGGCTTCTTGAATGAGAAGCAAAACGTCTTCAAGGACATTTCATTGCTTTTTGAAAAAGCACCTTTGGGATCTGCATAGACATTTGGAGCATCTTGTGGCGACATCTAGTGGCTTGAAGAAGTATTGAGCCAAAGAGCAGGCCAGAAAAGCTGCAAGAAAAGTTAGGGCCGCTCCCTCCCTCAGCCCGGCCCTCCTCCCAGGGTTGTCGTCAGGGAGAAGATGGGCGTGTGTACATTGCCTTGAGTGCTATGTAATAAAGGGTGAAAATAATAATAATATTAATAATATTGTTTCCTAGCTCAAAAATTCTGAGAAGCTGGGAAAAAAATATAAAAAGCATCTTAAGTTGCTGGGCATTTTCTCTTTTAACAGAAATCTTTTTTGCAGGGTAAGAAAATAGAGAAGCTGTTAAAGCAGATTTGGCACAATGTTAGAGCAAGCTGAGCTGAAGCCCCATCGCCTGGGGGGCACCAAAAAGGGCCCGTTCCCTCCAGCAGACGCTGCCTCAGGTGGTCCCTTCAGGGTGCCCACCCTAAAAACTGCCTGCTGGAAGCGAGAAATGATGGGGGGGGCTCCAACTTTACCTCGGGGAGCGGAGTGAGGCTGATGGCACTGAGCAGATGGCTCAGGTGGGGGATATGGCGGCTCCTGTGTTTGCACACAGAGACCGGTTTAATAGGTGTGCCAGAGCCACATCCCAGCCTGTAGTCAAGGAAACCTCGGTAGATGGGAGTTAGTGCAAGCAAGGAACCAGGAGCTGACTGCCTGCCTCGGGCAGGGATCCACACGGCTTGGGAGAAAGGCCGGCCGCAGCCCTTTCCTTCCCTGACCAACGGAAGGCCAGCCCAAAGTTTTGCCCTGGGGTGCCCCTGCCCTCCCCAGCCTTTGAAGGAGCTTTGAGACCGGGTTGTGCTAGCCACGCGCAGGGGGCTCCGTCATCATCGACCAGAGGGAGGTTTAGTTTTGCTTTTATAGTTTTGAAGTTTTAAGATAGTGATAGTTTTGCACTCATCTCTTTATGGATACAGGTAGTCCTCCAGTTATGACCATAGCAGAGCCTGCCCATACAGACGTAACCTGTGGCAGACGGAAAGAAAATGCCACAGTTAAAGGCAAAGCCATGAGATGGCGCTATGGGCTGGTTTTACTGAAAACCGGAAGGAAAATGCCTTTCGGGTTGGCCAAAACCGATCTAGATTGGGCTCACTTAACCGCAGGACAGTGCAAATAGCCGTAATTGTGATCCAGTTGCTGAGCGCACAACCTGCAGTTACAGGACTGTAAGGGGGGGGGCGTGACGACTGAAACTTCAAATCTGAGTCAGGCATTCTCCACAAGTCGTTCTATTGAAACTTCACTAAGAGGTCAAGTCAAGGACTACCTGTGCACAGGTCAGCAGCAACGTCCGTGAAATTGACAGTCATATAAACATGCTAAATAAGTGAAGGCATAAATAAATGCCCCAGAAGGCAGCTAAAACCAGAGTTCCGTCTCTGAGCTCAGGACACAGAGTCGGGGTCTCCAGTAACAGGAGCAAGCTTCCTTAAAAGAAAGTGGAGTTGGGGGTCAGACTAGATGAACTCTGTACCCCTCCAATTCTAAAAGCTGCAAACTCTCAAGATTTCAGGGCCACAGACCAGCATAAACGTGGAGCAACAGTGAAGAGAATCGGAAAAGGAGCCGAAGAGGAGAGCGAGCTCTTACAAAAGGAGCCTGGCAGGAAAAGAGGAGGCCAGCCTGGCTGAATAAAAGCGTCAGGAGATCTCCGCCACAAAAGGAGGTGAAGAAAAGGTGAAGCTAGGAAAGCAGCGACTGCTCGGAAGGGGCTGGGGAAGGACGCCCCCTGGTTTTCTTCCGTACCTCCAAAAGAGGAGAACAAGGCTGTTGAGAGCCAAATAAGAACAGAGCTCTTTTGTTTGGGTTTTGTAGAGAGAGTGTGTGTTCTGTGTGTGTGTCTTGAGCTTGTGTTTCAGTTCAGTTGGGAGAGGCCCAGCTGAGCATCCAGAGGAAGAAAGCAGCCCAAGTGGCTCCCGGGGCCCTCGGAGTAGTTCAGCCACACAGCCTGCCATGCCATACAGCAGCCCCCCCCCTGACTCCCCCTCCCCATGTCCAGGTAGGCAGAAGTTTGTGGGAGACTCCTGGACCGTTAGCTTAATAAATAAAGCACGTTTTAGAAAAGAAATGTTTTTTTGAGCACGCGCACCAAGGGGGGGGGGGAAATCGCCCTTTCATACGAAGGTCTCCCCTGTCATCCCACACAGAAATTGCACAAAAACCAAGCGGTTTATTTGGCTTTCTGTGTTGCGCAAACCCCTCCCTCGAAGACGGCGAATAAAACCATGGTTCCAGCAGATTCAACCCTAAGGCTCAGCACTGGTGGGCAGCCGCTGCATGAACCCCCACCCCACCCTCCGGGCCCAAAAGCCTCCGAGGACCCGGGCGGGCTTTGTCTGAGGAATCGGGGCCGGTCGGCAGCCCGAAAAGCGCCCCCGCCCAGCGCTTCGGTCCTTCGGGCAGTCGACCCGGGCCGCCCACAGCGAGGGGATCTGGAGGGGCCGGGCTGAGGTCTGCGCCAAGAGGGCGTCGTCCGCCCTTCCCCAGCCGGGCGGCCTCGGGAGAAGCGGCGGCTTTAGGGCCACGGGAGACACCCCCCCCCCAGCTGCCCCGCTGGACGGAGGACCCTCGCTTGACACACACTCCCCGATCCGGGGAGCTCGGGCGGATTCCCAGAGGGTCCCCCACGCCTGAGGAAAAGGGCGGGAGGGGCCGGCGGGCAAGTGCCCCCTCCCCAAAAGGGAAGGAGGGGGGGGCAAGCGAGCGGCCCCTCCCGCCGCCATTTTCTCCCTCAGGCCTGAGACGGAGCCTCCGCCGCCTTTTTCCGAGCGAGCAGGTAGAGCCCTCCTGCCCGGGGAGGCTCGCTTCCGCCCGCAGGGAAGCCTCGGCCGGGGCGGGGCCTGGAGGAGCGGCCCACCGGGCGTGGGGAGGGCCGGGGGCGGCGGCGCAGCCTCAGCCAGAGACGGAGCCAGAAATCGGCGGCGGCGGGAGAGGCTAAGCTATGCGCCGCCCGAGGAGAGCGCAGCGCGGAGGTGAGCCAGCCGGCGCCCCCTCGGCCCGACCCCACCACGCAGTCGGGCAGGCAGGTGAGGCGCCTCTCCCGCCTCGGCCAGGGAGACCTCGGGCGGGCCAGGCGGACTTTGGCCCTTCTCGGGGGGGTAGGGGTGGCGAGAGCGCACTGGGGCCAGGCGGGCAGGGGGAGCCCGAGCCTTTGGGATGGCGATCGCCTCGCCTCGCCCCGCTCTTCCCAGGCGGCCCCTCGAGGCGGGGGCGGGCGAGGAGTGGGGCGTCTGCGGGGCCCGATTATTCCTCTCCGCCTTCGCTTCGGCCGCCTGGCGCCCCTCCCCCCCAGGGTGAGTTTGGCGGAGGCGGTTTTCCCACGGAGGAGGGGGGCTTCCCCCTCTCCCGCCCCCCTCCTCAGCCCCGGCTTCCTCCTACGGCTCCAGCCCCTCCGAACGCGGCCGGGACAGGGTCCGGAGCGGGGTCGGGGGGCGAGCGGGTCCCGCGCTGCCTGGGAGAGCCCCTCCGGATCGCCCCCGGGAAGGCCGGCGTAGCTGCCCTGGGGCGTTTGCCTTTGAAGGGCGGAGAGCCGCCTGGAGCGGACCAACCGGTTTGCCTCTCCCGCTCGCCAGGTTAGACTTTAACCCGACTCCGGCGGCGGCGGCGGCGGCTGCAGCTCCGGGCTCCCCTTCCGCCAGGAAGAAAGAAAAGATTGACGTTGTCGCAGCTGCTGAACTTTTGACGGGAAGGAAGTCCGAAAGAGAAGAAAAAGGGAAGTCGGGAAGCCTTCCAGGGCCTCCTTCCCCCCGCGATCCCTCACTGCGAGCGGCGTTTCGGCTGGGATGCGCTCCGTGGCCGGCCTGGGAAGGGCTGCGGGAGTCCCGGCGGGAAGGTAGGTCCCGGATCTTCAGCCGCTCCCTTCGCAGCGCCGGAGGGAGGCTGAGCTCCGCTTTGGGCTTAGAAAGGGAAGCAGTTGGGAGCCTGGCCTGCATAGGTGGAGGCCAAAACCCATGTTGTTAAGGGAGACATTTGTTAAGTGAGTTTTGCCCCATTTTACCTTGCCACAGTCGTTAAGTGGATGGTTGCAATTGTTAAGGTAGTCCCACGGTTGTTAAGTAAATCTGGCTCTCCCATTGACTTGTCCGAAGGTCGCAAGAGCGGATCACACAACCCCGGGACACTACAACCCCCATAAATATGAACCAGTTGGCAAGCATCCAACGTTTGATCAGGTGACCACAGGGATGCTGCAAGGGCCCTAAGTGTGGAAAACAGTCCTGAGTGATTTCTTCCAGTGCCATTGCGGCTTTGAACGGTCACTAAACCTGGCCTCAAACTGCAAAACGTAGCCGACTCAAGCAAGTAAGACCTGCTGCGTGTTTCAGTTGGATGCAGGGAAGTGTTCTTTTCTGGGCCCAAAAGGATAATAACTCGGACTTTGAGCAAAAAAAAAAAAAAATCACCTGACCTTGCAGGTCTGGTTTAGGTGGCAATCTAAGAAATAACTTGTTTAATCACGGTTTATTGAATGGGTCACAGGTGGTTTGGTGCAAGTGCCTTAAATTCAAACCAGCCGCATTATAGCTTGGGGTGTCCTAGGAGTCTGTTAATAGGACAACTTGTATGAATTTCGCCCCTGCCATCATTGCCTGTGGTTTAGGGAATAGCCCACGATGATTAAGTACATGTAAACCAGAAGAAAGTGATGTTTTTCTGGCTTTTTACCTTGGGGCCTTCACATTTGTAAATTTGTCCATTTTGCCGGGTGTTAAATTCTAATTATCTACAATTATGTATTTTAAGCAATATATCTTCCATGGCTGATCTCTCTGCAGCACCCTGTATATGAGTAGGGTTTCTTTTATCGCCAAAAACTATCTCTCTCCCTCCCTTCCCTTTCTCCCCTTCTTGTACTGTTTTAATCTCTCTCTTTCCCGCTCCCCCGAATAAGTGAAAATGAATTCAACAACCCTGGATAATTTTACCCCCTTTTCTCATTTTAATTTCTGTGCAGCAGGGAGAGTTAATGAGGGTTGTGTGGCAGCTTTGATAGGGATACAGCATTTACAAAATAATAATTACGATAATGACAGGGTACAGTATTGTCAGGATAAGGTGAGGAAACCCTTGGTGATGAGACACCGCAGGGCAGTAACTGATGGCCTTTTGAAAAAATGGAGGGAGACAGCCTCATTACTTACCGACTGGGACTACAAAGCCCAGAATTTGAAAGTAGGGTGTGTGTGTGTGTGTCTGTAAACACTGAGGAATTACAAGACAGGCTCTGATTCTCAAGCAGAGAAGAAATACAGAGTAGACGAGAAGGTTTAATGGGTCCTGCCTGGTTCAGATTGCAGTCCATCAAAGTCACTGTAACTCATCCTATTGATTTCACTAGATGGACTCAAAATAGGTGATTGATTGATTGATTATGTGCTATCAAGTCCTTTTTTGACTTCTATTGGCCTCGTAGGTAGATTTTCTCCACGAGAATTTGTCTGTAGTCAGATTCTTTCCGAACTTTAAAAACGAAACAGGAAAACCACAGAGAAATTGAAAGGACTGAAATTGTCTCTCCACGCTAGAATCTTTCTTCCAAGTGATAAAGCCAAGAAAAATAATTTGATATTGATTTTCCTACCCTCCCGTTTTCTTGCTTTATTTTTTCCGTGTGTGACTGTCTTATTTTTTTACTCTTTTTTTTATAATGGGCAGTCGTTTAAAAGTCAGTCCCTCTTTAACACAGGGACTGCAACGTTTGGCCAAACAGCTTTGGAATATATAACTGTGGCTTATCTTGCAGACCGAGATAATATCTGTGTCTACACATTCTTTGCCCCCTGGAACAACCTTGGCAGGGAACAGTTTATGCTCACAGAAAGCAGTTTCTTCTGTGTCAGAACAAAATGTTAGCAAGGGAAGCCCCGACACATCTAAAGGGGCAGGGAGAACGTTTCAGCCAATATTATGGCAAAATAATTTTCTCCCCAGCAAAGAGACCTGGGGAATTTCTCCTCCAAGTAACTATGAGCCGATTTCATGGGAAGCCTTGCGCAGTCCAAGATCGGAAAGGGAAAAGGCAATTCAGAGTCCACATGAAGGTTTGGCTTGCAGGAGCTGTCGTCACTGCCTTAAATTTCCCAGGAAGGCGGCTTTCTTCCCCAAATGGCCTCAGCTTGAGCATCCCTTGTGCTCTTAAGCCTTCCCGGATCCTGCTTCTATTGCTTTGAAGCCTTGGAGAGTCTGGGCTGCAAACAGGCTGGAGACGGATGGAGAGAGAAGAGGGACTGGGAAAAACAGGATTTTCTCACAGTTCATCCTTTTTTCATTCACTGCAAATAATTTCCATCAAAGGGAATTGGGCAGCGGGTTAGTTAGTTAACTATTAGTCAGGTAAACAGTTCGTCAGACTGAGGTTCCTTCGTTGCAACATCTCGGAGTAAGTCTATTTGGATACAACTTGGCAAAGATTTGTCATTTCCTCATTGGGGTCTGGCTGGTTCTCAGCTTCGGTAGGGGCCTGATCAGGATGTCTATCGTCCCTTTTTGGGCAAGATGGACACATTGCTGCTCTTGTGTCCTTTGTGGGCATCTTGGCCACTGGGCCACTCCTGGGCATAGGGCGATGCCCGTGTTCTGGGCTTTGTCTTCCAGCTGGTTTGGGGGTCTGCGTGAAAGCCAAGCTTGCCGTAGGAGGGATCTCAGAAACTCGGCAGTCAAAAGCCGGCCCTGCTTGCCTGCCTCTCCTTTTCAGCCGTATATAGGGAACAGGTAGGAAATCTGATCTGCAGTTAGCCGGACAAAGTCTGTGCCTGCCAAGCTCTGTGCCTCTGGCCTTTTCGGGCAGGCGTCCACCCTGATGAGGCTGCAAACAACCAGGAGTGGTTTCCATGTGCCAGGAGACCGAAAGCGTCAGGCCTTCCAGGAGGGGCTTTGCTGGTGGAAAAATCCCAGCAGCATTTTTGTAGAAGCCTCTTTTCAGTCTGGTTTGTAAGACAAGAACTTTTAACAAAGTAGAGCCAGGGGGCTTTTCCCCACCCACAAATGGCGTCGGTGAAGTTCAGCTGGTGTTAAACGGCAAATCTGGTGTTGAGTTTAAAGGATTTTGTTCTCAAGTACAGGGATCGTACTGGATCCTTCCTTTGCAGGCACACAACCTTTGGTGGTGCAAGTAAATGCCAACACTCCCTTCACAGATGGCGCACCAATGGGGAGTGTGCAAATACCTGCTCCACTATTGCAGTTCTCCGGGGAACAGAGGTTGCTCTTTTCAAATTACATTTGTGTCCTTCCTCTGAGGTGCTCATCTCAATTTTATCTGTGCTGGGTGTTCAATTTATATTAAAACTACTTTGAGGGTCATTTTTCCTGAATTTTCTGCCTCAAAATGTTGAAAACGTGCAACTGATCCTTACAGGGACTTCAGAGAGAGGGGTGGGTCAGTTTCCAAAGTCAAATTGGTCAAGCCAGATTGGGCAGGTGGAGGCCATACAAACACGTGCAGAGTTTCCCATCCTCTATTCTAGCCCTTCTTTGCTCTTCTTCTTCTTTCCCTTCTGCTGTTGATTCTGTATTTAGAAGGCCCCGCTTTCCTTTCCTTCTCCCCACGTCATTTTCCTGCCACACACTAATTGTATAATTGACAGGAATCCAAGTTCTTCAATGCGGCTTTGGGCACTTTGCAAGCAGAGGCAATATTTCGTTTTATTCCCATGCGAAGGAAACGCGATCCGAGAGACACAGAAAAAGGGCACCCTTTCTTTTCATTTCCCTTTATTAAAACAATTCCTGCCAACCACCTGACAGCACTGCCAGCGCTCCCTTTTGTGTCAATGCCTTTCTGCATCCTCCTTTGGCACTTCTGCAAATCCCATGGGGTTTGCCGTTATCCCATTGCTTACCCCACCTTTGAATTTTGATCGTGTCAAAGGCCTCGCTGTGAGGCCGGCCGTTCTCAGTCGCTCCCGTTGAGCCAGGTGGCACCCGGGTCCGAACCTCTCGAGAAGGCCTCTCTTGGTGGAGGTGGCTCTGCCTCCAGGTGCTTTCCTCCTGTGGGCAAGGCTGCAGGCTGCGTCTCTTGAGAACCGGCCGGCGCAGAGGGAAAGCTGGGAGCTTCAGCTTTGGGGGCGGGTGGGTGTGTGGGTGTGTGCTGGTGAGCCGTCCATCGGCTGTGCTGCGTAATGGTCCTTGATGGGGGGACTGAGATGGGGGAGGAACCCACTTTTGAATTTGGCTTAGTGGGAGCCACGCTGCCTGCTCTCCCCCACCCCATCCACCGGGCTTCTCAGTTGGGCCTTGTTCAAGCTCAGAAGCCACCGGGGAATGCCAGCTGGGCAGGGTGCCTGTGCTTGGACGGTGGCACTGCCAGAATCCCAGATGGGGTGCAGAGGTGGGAGGGGCCTTTTGCCCAGCAGGGGCAGCAGCACCAGCCAATCCTGGCTGGCCTGGAAAGCAGGCTGGATGGGAGACCACCGGCAGTGAAAACAACTCTCTTGCGAGAAGGCAGGGGCAAACTGATATGCCCAGAGGACTCTCTGGATGCAGCCAGGAAATCATCAGGAGTGAGGAAAACTTTTTATTTTTTTTTAGCCTGGCATCTCTCCCTGTTTCTCCAGCTGGAGCATTTGCAGTGAATTAACTCCGGCGCATTCATTTGGAAGAAGAAAGTGGTTAGTGCTAACAATGATTAACTTTAAATGAGGGGGACCCTGTGTGGTGGTTCCTGCCATGGAAAGCATTTAGTCCTTTGGTCAAACCTCCCCTATCCTTTTCCCTCTTGTTCTGGGCTTGGATTGAGTGATTATTCTGATTTATTTTTATTTTTTTTAGTGCATGCTAAACCTTTCCTAGAGCGTGTGGCTTTTATGTCTGGTTGGGATTTGTTAAAATTGTGTCTGGGGTTCTATTTTAACCTTGGCTTCATTTCTGCAATGCAGCTATTCCACAACAGAAGTAATCCAAAACAGAGTTTGCCAAATAAATGCCTGGTGATGCGCCTGAATGCTTGTAAAAGGGTTTTTCCATGGGGCTGGAGAGGAAGCGGGGAGGGGGGGGCATGCATTTCTCATCCCTCTGGAGGTGGGTTTTTTTTTGTTTTGGTATTTATTTCTCTGTATTTAATTTCAAATACTTGTTACAGGTTTTTTTTAGTATATATGTTGTATGTATCTTTGTGTTTTGTTCCTTTAGTTTTTCTGTTATTTTAAAAGCAATTTAAAAATCATATTAAAAAGTTTGGGATGTTAGTCCTGGTAGTTTACTCCATCAGTTAGTTTTTCAAAGCTGTAGCTTTCCTCCGGTTATCCCAAGCCATTGTTCTCCAGCTGTCTTGGATTGCAGCTTCCACAGCAAAGGGAACCATAACGCTAGACATCCAGAGGCCCAGATTGCAGAATAGGTGGTGCTGCAGTTGCGTGGAGTGCTTGTGATTTCATGCACGCACAGCCACATAGTTTGCCTGTTTCCAGGCTGTTTTTCCCGGGTGTGGGATTCCACAGTGGTCTCCTGTCCAGCTGCTAAGCAGGAACACCCCTGTGTTTTTCCAGACGTCCAGGTGCTGCCATTTCTTAGGGCACGAATGAAATCAATCTGAAAAAAAGGAAGGAAGCTTCCCAGGAGCAGAGTTGGGGATTGTAATGATTCCCAGGAAAATTGGAGGATTTTTTTTTTCATTCCAAAGAGGTGGGGGGGGCCTTCTGCCCGGAAGTGGCTCGGATGATTTTATTTCCCCAAATGTTAGAAAGACAACAGGCCAAATTTTAAATTTCTGTCCTCCTGCACCTCCTGCCTTGCCAGGATTATTCTTCACCTGAATTTGACGCACCCCAATCCCTTGTCTTTCTCCAGATCCCCTTTTCCCACTTGGATCTTCTGAGCAAACCCAGCCTTCAACGGCCTTCAACGGCCTTCAAGGAGGAAGGGAGCCACTGGGTCTCCCCTGAGAGCCGTTGAGGATGGCCCAGTCCAGGTCCAGCAGTGGCTCCCACTATGCCCTGATGGCCATTGGGCTGGGGATGCTGGTCCTCGGAGTCATCATGGCCGTCTGGAACCTGGTCCCGGGCTTCGGCCTCAGCGCCAAGCCTCATCCAGCCAGCGGTCACCACAACGAGACTGAGGTCAGCAAAGGGCCCCTGCACAGGAACAAGACCTTCTCGGTGGCCTATGTCTTGGTCGGGGCCGGCGTCCTGTTGCTCCTCTTCTCCATCTGCTTGACCATCCGGGACAGAAGGAAACCGAGGCACCGCGAAGACGACGTCATCCGGATACGTCCGCAGCCTTCGGTCGAGCGGCCTCCCCCAGAGGACAGGTGAGGAGGGTGGGCCGCTTTCCCACCCAGATTTTTGAAAGAGTACCGTATTTTTCGGAGTATAAGACGCACCTTAGTTTTTGGGGAGGAAAATAAGAAAAAAGCTGATTGGTGGGTGAATCAGCCTCCCAGAATACCTCCAATCGGCTGTTCCCAGAAGTGAATTTTAGCAACAGGTTCCTTGGTTGTGAGCTCTGCACCTGGCTTTTTTTTTCCTTTTTTTTTCTGCCTCTGAAAGCCTCCGAAACAGCTTCAGAAAAAAAGGCTTTTTTTCTGAAGCTTCTTTCAGAGGCTTTTATTCTGAAGAACTATCTGTACTCTGTTCCATCTCTTTCTTTGGTATTGGTATGTAGATTAACCTCTTCCAATCTGTTGGTTATTGTGCCATTCTCCAGATTTGTTAGCATAGTTTGATTAGAACCTTTACTGATTCTTCTTTTGTTGCTTGCCATATTATTTTAGATAAAAGCCTTTCAGAGGCTTTTTTTCTGAAACTTCTTTCAGAGGCTTTTTTCAGCCTCTGAAATCTCCGTTTGCGAGGCTGGGCAGGGCTACATTTGGAGTATAAGATGCACACAGATTTTCAGCCTTTTTTTGCGGGGGGAAAAGGTGTGTCTTATACTCCGAAAAATACAGTAACTGCCGGTATGCATCACTGTTCCCGGAGTTTCTTTTAAACCCCAGTTTGTGGCATGTGCACATAACCGTCTCAGCCACAAACAATGAGGCTAAATCCCTGTTGGCATCACCTTCTGGCCAGGCAACCTGTCCAAAAAAGCCTAACAAAGGCATCATTTCCTCTGTGTGAGCGGCCAAAGCTTAGTGTCCGGTGTGTAACAGCCTCCCTTAGCCTTCGCCCGGATCTCCTGTCGGAGACCCTGGTCAGCTCTGGGACCCAGATAAATGCAGCATGGGGCTCCGTTCAGCCTTTGCTGTGACTGGCGTGGAAGATTATTTGCAAGCTCCTTCAGAAAGCTGTGCTGGCCTTCACGTGGGGCCATATTCACACAACCTGAGCAGCTTTCTCCAGAGGCCATTGGAGGTGAGACTTTGGGTCCTAAAAGGAGGAGTCACATCAGGCCCTGGCCTGTAGCCTGAATCTCAATGACCCACCCAGCAAGCCTCATAACGTCTGAGTGTCCAGACAGTGAATATGCCTGTATCATCAGTCTTTTAAACATGGCTGTTAGAACAAGCCATGGTTTCGAGGCATTGCAGAGCCTTCAGCCCCTATTACAGACTCCTCTGACTCCTCTGACCATCTTCCCATCCTGCACCAGGCCCGAAGGGAACAAGCCCACAGCCTTAATCCACATGTGGGCATGTCCTGTTTTTACCACCTGGAGAGATGAGGGAGACCAGGGCAGCAGCGTGCATGTAAGGGAATTGCCCTTGGTTACCTGCTCTTGGCCAGGAGGGGACTGGGGGAGGGGGGAGAAGCCCCCACTGGGCCACTATGTAGCAAGGGAGATTGAAGGGCAACAGTCTCCCCACTGATTGCTGGCGTGTTGCCATGTTTAACCTTGGCTTTTGAGGTCATTAGTTCCAGCCTCCAGTGCATTTAAAAAAGGGGGGGGGACATTTGAAAGGGAGATCTGGGGGTTGCCCCTCCTGAGCACTCACGTCTCCCGATGTGCTCCCTCCCGCAGCCAAGAAGACGACAACGACAGTCTCTCCCGCTACTACGTGCCCAGCTATGAGGAGGTGGTCAACGGCCTCTACCCGGAGCAGCCCAGGCTGGAGGCCGAGCACGGCACCCGCATCAGCGTCTCCCTTCCTTCCTACGAGTCTCTCACGGGGCTGGATGAAAGCCTCCCCACCAGGCCCAGCCCCATGGCGGCAGGGACAGCAACGGGGGCGGCCCCCAGGGAGGAGCGCCCACCCGCCCGGCAGAGCTCCCGCCTCAGCAAACGCCTGAAGCCCTTGAGAGTGCGCAGGATCAAGTCTGAGAAGCTGCACCTGAAGAACCTCCAGCTGGGCGGCACCCCTCCCACCCGAGTCACCATCGAGCCACTCACCCCACCTCCTCAGTACGACGAGACGCCTCCCAAGCTGCCAGACCCCCGGGAGGGGGAGCCCTGAAGCTGCTCCCGAGGGACACTTTTGCCGGAAGCACTGGAAGTGGCTTCTTGAGAACGGGGTGTGTGACTGTGTGTGTGTCTGTGTGTCTCACGTCCAGTTGCAAACTTTGGAGCCAAGCCAGAAGGCCACCTGACAACCCCCCCAGGCCCCCCACAGCTCTCCTGGACTTGCTTGCCCAACAGGACGGGGTCAGGAGAAGATGGATGAGCCGGGCTCTCACAGGTTGCCTCCATGGTCTTTGTCTTCGTGAGCCTGGCCCATCCGGGATTTGGGAAATGTCCCCATTTTTCCCCCTCCAAGGGACCGCCACCCCCCCACCATCGGACTCCCATCAACCTTTGGGAAGGTTGCCAAATCCCCTCTGGAAACTCAGCTCAAGGGGGGGGGGGAGGTTTTGATACCGTTTTAGCAATATGACTTTTGGGGTTAGTGTGTCTCTGTGTGTGTGTTTATTTTTTCTAAATTATGTCATTTTTATATCTCTATTTGGTAATGCTCACCTCTCCAAACTAGCACTCCAGTTTGGCATGCTTGCCAGGCTAGTTTTTAATTTAATTTTTTTTTGGGTAGCAGTTTCCAGCAATGGGGTTTCAGACCCGGCCTCCTTTTCCACCAAAGGTGGATTTTCAGTGACACAAAGGGAACTCGGGTGCCTTTGAAATCAAACATTGCAAAGGCCAAAGAGAACTAACTGCTCAAATCCATCGGGATCTGGGATCTGTTGCAGGCCCCAAAGATGTCTTCATTTGGGGAGGGGGTTCTGACGGTCCCTCTTGGGTTTTGCAGCTGCTGAACTGGAAATGTGATATTTCTTTTTCCAAAGGGGTGTAACCTTTTTTTAAGATGGAAGGAGTGGGGGGGGGGGAGGGAGGGAGGGAGCCCTTTTTAAAAAGAGAATAAATGGGCAAGATGTTGCTTTAATCCAGGCGGCTGTTTATATCCTCTGTTATTGGGGGGTGGGGGGGGGGGCTGAGGGTTATTTGCATCCCCGGAGGTACCCTGGGATGGCTGCCTTTGTTTCAAGGGGGGCCCCTGAAGGGGTCTCCTTTGGGGGGGGTCACCCTTGGCACCGCAATCCAGCACCCCCGACTGGGGAAAGAATGGGGTCCAAGACCTTTGGGGAGGGAGAGTCATCCCTTGTCATAAGGTGCCAAAGGGCAGAACTTGGCATGCTGTGTGAACAGGGCACCGCTGGGAAAAGCGTGGGTGACGCTCGCCCCGTGGGAACCCGCCCGCTGTGGTTTCATGCAGGGTTTCTTAACCTGAACCCTTTAAACTGGACGGACTTCAACTCCCAGGATTCACGGTCGAGGCCTGACGGCTGGGGAATTCTGGGAGTCGGAGTCCGCCCGGGAGGTGAAGCGCTTCCCTGTACAGGCGGGGCAGTTGCGCGTGCGCCAGACAGTCGCCGGCGCTCGGTTTCCATGGGAACGGGCTCGGCGCGGTACGAAAAACGGGTTGCCGTGGAGACGCTCTTTCCGGCGGAAGGGCGTGGCCTAGGGTCCGGTTGTCATGGCCACGGCTCCGCTTGGCGGGAGTCGGGTCGGCGCCTCAGCGGGACCGCGCCGGCTTCGCTCGAGGACCCCCCGGTGAGTTTTGTCTCCGTGCCTCTGAGCGTGTGCAGAGCCCCGTCGGCCTCACACCCGGGATGTGGGGAGGGGGCTGCCTTTGACGGGTGCTCTGGACACCCGAGGGAGGGAGGCAGAGCGGAGGGGGACCGCCCCCACCTCACCCGGGACTCTGGGCCCAGGAAAGGGCCCGGCCTGCCAGGCCGCAGAGGGCGGGAGCCCCGGTTTTGGGTTCTTCAAGAAGCCCCGCCCTGGGGAACTGCGGTGGGAGGGGGGGGATTTTCATGATGTTGCCCCATTTGACACCCTGGACCCCCCAGTCAGCGCGGAGGTTTTGGCGAGGGGGGGTGGGGGGCTGAAGCATCTGAGCAACTGATTTAAAGGCCATAATGGAATAAAAAGTTGATGGTTTCAGGGAAACCGCCCCCCCCGCCCCCTTTTTTCGTCCCTTTCCCAGCCAAGGGGCCCCCCCGTGTCCCCCCCCCCATCGTCCCCCACCCCCCCCTCTCGAAACGCTGGCAGGGATTTCCCCTCTGAGCCCCGGAATCGCAGAGGGGGCCAAAGGGGGAGTAGGGGGAGACGAGGGGGCCTGATGGGCATTTCCCAATTTAAGCAAAGAATAGAATAGACTTTTATTGGCCAAGTGTGATTGGACACACAAGGAATTTGTCTTTGGTGCCTATTCTCTCAGTGGACATAAAATAAAAGATACATTCATCAAGAATCATAAGCTACAACGCTTAATGATAGTCATAGGGAACAAATAAGCAATCAGGAAACAATATCGATATAAATCGAAAGGATACAAGCAACAAAGTTACAGTCATACAGTCATAAGTGGAAGGAGATGGGTGGTGGGAACGATGAGAAGAGTTGCAAAGGGTGCAAAAGGAATGAAAAGTGCCCACTTTCTCCTGGTTCCCAATCCTTTGAGAGTCCCAATCAGAGAACCTGCCTTGGCTGTTGCCGCATGGCAAGGTGGTGTAGTAGTTGTTTTTTCCCCACGTTTGAGTAAGTCTCTGAAGTACTCAGCCTGCACTTTCTCACCACGCCCCCCCCCCCCCATCGTCTGGCAGAGAGCATGAAGGCCTTCCTAAGGAGCTCGGACGGCATCTTGGCGCTCAGGCCAAAGATAACGACGATAGGAAAGCATGATGACTCAGACATCGTTCTTAAGGTAAAGGCCCTGAACGTTCCATGTGGGACCTTTGTCCTTGCGTGGGATGCTGGAGGCTTCCCTGGTGGGGTCCTAAAGGCTTCCTGCTGCCACCCCCCACCCATCTCTCCCCCTCCGTCGAATCTGCTCAAACTTCAGAATTAAAGGAGAAGCTTCATGTTGAGCAAGGGATCAACTGTGAACGTAAAAGCCCAGTCTTGGTCCAAGGTTCCTTTGCAGGTGCTTGTTGGTTCCAGTAAGTTCTTGAACCTGCCTAAGAAAGTGGAAGTCAATGACAATTGTTAAATCTGCTAAATGATCCAGAACCTCCCCTCCCCCCTTCCAAAGCTAATACTGGTATACTCTAATTTTTGTGTCTCTGCTGCCTCATGGCGGAAGTGAGATTTTAAAACCATTCAGATTTTTGGTTTCGGACATCGGAATGTGGTATCGGTTGACTTGGATGTGTGAGAAGCAGCCCAAATCATCTTAGTGATGAAAGAGAAAAAGAGGACTTTTCCCCACCTCCCTCGGGATGGTCTTGCGTTTCGTTTGTGCTTCGGATGCAGTTAGATTAAAAAGTTCCCTCCCCCCCCTTCAGTCTCCAGGGTTGGAAGACCACCACGCTGCCCTTGAGTTCAGCGATGCCGAGCACAGCTTCGTTCTTCGGGACTTCAACACCAGCAGCGGCTCCTTTGTGAATGACTGTCAGATCCAGAATGTGGCCGTGAAGGTGGGCCAGGGAGACCTCCTGCGCTTCGGCTCCGGTGGGCCGATCTTCGAGCTGGTGCTGGACCAACCGCCTCAGGTAAAGAAGGTGACGGGGATGGCTGGTCAGGCCGCTCCTCCCTCAACCGAAGAGCTCCCTTGGGCCCTGCCAGCCACTAAAAGGAAACAGCTTGACTCAAACAAGGGGTCGCGATCACGCACACCACGGCTGGCATGGCAGTTTTCGGGGCTTTTGGGAGCTGATGTCCCTGTTCCTGGGCTCCACTCGGCTGGAAGAATGCACTGTTTCTGCCCTTGAAATGTTCCTTTGGTGCCCGCAGCCCTCTTCCAAGGAATTCGGCTGGACAGCCGACCCACCCCCAACCTCTGGCATTTGGCCTCTTGTGGTCCAGGGTTTGTGAAGGTAGAGAGGAGGGGATCAGGCATGCCTGGGGGGCCTTGATTGGGTAAGGTCCCTGTGCCCCATTGGCAGCCTCGGCATTCTTGCCTTGCTATGATAGCCACTGCCCTCCTCCCCATGGGTTCAACTCCCCTCTGTGACTTCCCTGCTTGTCCAATGGGATGAAGGCCATCTATTCATTATATTTCATATTTCTTAACTGACCATCTCCCTCGGAGAGGGGTTGTGGGCAGTGAGCATTGTGTGTAATCAGCTCAAATCCCCGCAGAACATGAGTTGAGCCAGCTGAGGTTTGCAGCGTCTGAGCCCCCTGGGAAAGGCTCTGGGGGCAGACAAGATTCCTCCCATGTCGTCTAGCAGGTGCCTTATCTTCCGGTGAATCGGCGCATTGCCTGGCCGGGCCAAATCCAGGTGGTTACAGAGACAGCCTCCCCTCCGTCAGCAGCTGCTGCTCCCCAGTTTCCATTGCTGCCCTCTCAGCAGTCCTCACCTGCCAGCCCCAGCTGGCCCTATGCAGCAAGCGGGACCTCGCCGCGCCCCCCCCTCCGAAAAAGGCCGCCTGGGAGCGCCTGGGGCAGAACCGTCTCCTCCTCTGCCTTCTCTCCCGAGCCATCCAGCTGGCCTCCAGCCGCCCTCTCAGGTACAGGGGGGACCGAGCAGGGTAGCCTGTCTGCAGAGCAGTAACTGGGCCTGGAGTTTGGAGCTTCACTTCACTCCAGTCGTTCGGGGTTAGTGTGAGGAGGGGGGAAGAGAGGCCCTGTGTCTATCAATGGGCCGCCCACTTCTTTCCTGTTCTCGTCCAGGCAGTGGAGCCCTCCCTGGCCCTCTTGCCAGCAGCCACCCGGGGGATGTGCTTCTCAAAGAGAAAGTGAGTGAGGACCTCCGCTTTCTACACCCTTCCCCAGTGTGAGGATTTCCAGGGAGCCCAGAAGGCCGCCCTGGGCAAGGCCATCCTGGTTCTCCCTCCAGGCAGGTCCCATCTCTCGGCATCAAAGCTGAGTTGTGGGAAGCCACTTGAGACCATCAGACTCAAATATTCTCATAAAAAAAAAAAAAGAATCTTGCCCAGAAATCCAGACCACAGGCAAGATTGGTGGACTTAAAAAGGAAGGTTTTAGCCTTTAGGCAAGAACTTGCGGTCAGAGAGAGAGAAAGAGACGGCTTCGCAAAGCTGTTTGTGGGTACCCACCATAAGGAAGCGTATCAGTGGGACGGGAAAGCAGCATAAATCATTCAAGAGAGATGAGAGCAGCCCTTTCGAAAGCAGAATGGATGAAAATGTAAAAAATGAAGAAAAAAAAAAAAACCATCAGCAGGCGAGTAAGGAGGAAGAGCAGGTGGTCAGCGAAAGGGGGCTGGGGAGAGTGTTTCCAGAGAGGTGGATAGCCAGAAACAGCCTTTCCTTCCAGCAGCCACCTGCTGCTCAGGCCGGGCCTTTTGGGAAAACTCTCCCCACCAAAGATTGAGCAATGAGGCTGGATGATCTCTGAGGGCCCCCGCAGCCATTGGTGCCGCATGGGCGTTTCTTCCCCTCCAGCTCCTGCTTTCATAAGGGAATTACGGAATTGACCACTGTTAGAGTCACAGAAGGATTTAGCCAGAAAGTCTCGATGGGAGAAGAAGAATAGGGCCATCTTCCAAGCGGCCCTTTTCCTCTTTTGCTGATTTATTTACTTATTTCCTTCTGCAGGAAGAGACCATTTTGAAACTGGGGGACGAAATCAACCGCTTGTCCGCCTTCGAAAGTGAGTGCAGCCGCAAGGACACGCTGATCGCAGAGCTCCAGCATGAGATTTTGGCCATGAACGAGAAGGTGGTGGCAACCCTGGCCAAGAAGGACACCGAGTTCCATCAGAAGCTGGCCAGCCTCGACAAAGACTCCGAAGCCAAGGCCGAAGAGATCAGGAGGCTGAAGGAGCAGGTGGGCTGGAGGGGGGACGGGGGGACGGGGGGATGCGGCAATGGTGCTGCTCTGTGCATGTGTGCGTTCTCACATCAGT